TATCTCGACCGGGGAACAAATCCGGTAACATAATTTATATCTTAAATTCCTTACGAATTTATTAAGCGATATTACTTAGGAAAACAAACAAACTAGTCCGGCCTGGGAGTCGAACCCAAGACCTTCATATCATTAATTCGACATTTCTTAAAGATTTAACTAAGCATTCTCTTATCAGAGCGTCGTTGCTCGTGACTGCCCCTTTTTTTCATAGCAACGTCATCGGTTGATTTAATAAACTGAAACATTTTTATAGGCGCGTCGCCAACAATAATAGATACATATACATATATAAAATATATAAATAACAAGTTGATGTGAAATAACATACATATAAACTAATATGTTATAACGGTACTTCACATCGGGACAGCTTCTTAACCTATATCAAGTTCATGTCCGGTCGTGCAAAGAGTATTATTGTCCCATAAGGGCTGCTGCAGAGCCATATAGAGCTCAGGGAAGAGGCGTGCTGAAAGTCTTATTGGAAACCTTGATCTTGTCAGCCTCGAGCACAGACGTAGGCTAGCCAGTCTCTCGGACCTCCTGCCACTCATCGTCCTACTCATAGGACACAGACTTCTAAAAAATTTTGGCCATTAAATTGTATTCGTAGTAATTATAAAATCCACAAATAGAAAATATATCACATATTAGTGAACACGAAAATATTACTTGTGACCGTTATCAAGTGTCTCTCCTATAAAATGACGACGTACGAAAGCGAACGATTGTTCGAATACAGAGCGTATCTCTCTCTTAATAATATCTTTATGTTTTTGAAGTTTCCTTTGTCAATATGCTCTGTTATATTCTGTACAAAGTAGCTTGATCTTTTTGACAGATGGGTATAGTGATGGGAAACAGAAATATAGGTACTTGTAACTGTGATGAGATGGTGTGACTTTATGTATGTTTCAAACTATTCAAAATAAATCAGTTCATTCATCAATCAACTTTATTACACTAGACATATAAAAACATTGGGTAGGTAAGCGACGATGAATTATATTATTCATATAATATTAAATTAAAATTAAGGTTGAAAAATAAAATAAAATTTTCTCTTTAAAACATATTTTTTAATCTGGAAGCACAACCAAGATTTTCATCGTTGGAGTCGTCATCGGCACTTGTGTCATCATTTCCAACTTGAATTATTAATTCGTTTTCAACGAAATTGTCGAAGTGCACGTCCCGCATACAGTCAGACAAAACTTCTTCTTTCACGTGTCGAGCAACATTCGGCCAGTTTTCAGCGGTCACCTGACCACAAGCTTCTTCCAACAAACGGAGCATTTTGTTTGCGGTGAAGGGAGCAGATGTGTTTTTGCGTGATGCATGCCCTGTGAATGAAATAAGTGATGAATAAAACGGAAATTTATTTAATGCAAATAAGTTATAATATTTATCAAGAAAAAAAATATTTACATTTTCACTGACCGTTTATTTGTGCCCATAACAGTTGTATGGTATTATATTGACAGTGATAGGGAGGCAATCTGATAACTGTGTGACCACGTTGCTTTGCTGCTTCGTCAAGCAAATACACTGGCTCCCTTGGTTTGTGTGTGGCTACCAGCCCAAGCAGTTCGCACGTAAGCATTGTTATATCGGCATTTACGCCCTTCTTTATGAGCCACTCTATTATAACGGCTTTTTTGTTTGCCGTCATCGGAGCTTTGACAAGCTGCTTGGAATAGTAGGATGCATTATTCATTATTGTTATATGAGGACCGTCCAGGTTGTCCATCATTTTATACGAGTAGAACCAATAATATGACATATAATAATTCTCAATCTAACGACCCGCAAGAAATATGTAACATGTTTTCAAAATACTTTGGATCTGTGTATGTGGAAAGGGATGCAGCATTGGTCGACCTAGACTCCTTGCCATGTACTAATACTAATGGCATCTTTCTAAGTGATATATTCTTCTCATTAGACACTATAATCAGAACACTTAAATCCTTAGATGTTGCTAAGGGTTCAGGACCAGATGGTCTACCGCCGTTCTTTTTTAAGCATACCGCAGACTCCATAAGCATTCCTCTCTTTCATATCTTCAACCGTAGTCTACGGGAGGGATACGTACCAAAGATCTGGAAGGCAGCAAATATTACCCCCGTCTTCAAGAGCGGATCAAAAAATTTGTTTCAAATTACCGTCCGATCTCGCTTCTGTCCACCTTGTCGAAGGTCTTAGAAAGGTTAGTTCATAACCGTATCTATCCAAGCTTACACAATATCATTATCTCAGAACAGCATGGCTTTGTCAAAAATCGTTCGACTGTAAGTAATCTTGTTTTATATGCTAATTTTCTGTTTGAAAATATGGACAAGCGGCTTCAAATCGACTCAATTTATACAGACTTTTGCAAGGCTTTCGATAGGGTGGATCACGAAATTCTCCTTCGAGAAATTGCTTATAACGGTATACGCGGAAACTTATTGCGATGGTTTTCATTATACGTCACAAACAGGACGCAAAAGGTGGTTATTAATGGATTCTCGTCCAATGAAATAAATGTATCATCCGGCGTGCCACAGGGCTCAATTTTAGGGCCTCTTCTGTTCTTAATCTTTATAAACGATATATCGACTTGTTTCAAAAATTCTCATTTCTTGCTATATGCTGATGATCTAAAAAATTTTCGTAGTATAAATACATTTGATGACTGTATTCTACTTCAAGATGACATGGATCGTTTATCTTCCTACTGTATAGAAAATAAACTAATTCTTAGCCTCCCTAAATGTAAAACTATCACCTTCACTAAAAAAAGTAATATTATTAAATTCGCATATTCTCTTTGCAATACTCCTCTTGACAACGTTTCGCTTATTAAAGACCCTGGCGTGTTCTTTGACTCAAAGCTTTATTTTGATTACCACATTATCAACAAAGCGTTTCAGCTTTACGGTTTTGTCATGAGAACTAGTAAGCCATTTAAAAAGTCTGGCACTTATCTCCTGCTCTATAAATCTCTTATAACACCCCAATTGGAGTATAACACACAAGTTTGGAATCCCTTCTACCAAAGATATCGCGATTTACTAGAATCGGTTCAAGCTAAATATCTACGCTCTGTAAACTACAGATGTTACAGTTCTTGGTCCTCTTATGACTACCTCTTGCATAAATACTATTTAACAACTTTAAGTAATAGGCGATTACTACTTGACTGTACTTTTCTTTACAAAATTTGTCGTAACTTTTTTGATTGCTCTCAATTTGTCAATTGTATATACCATCGTGTACCAAGTCGCTCACAAAGAATACGAAACACTCACGTGCATCGTTTGTTTTTCCTTAATCTGTGCAAAACAAATGCGGGCAAGCGTGCGCCTTTGCGTCGTATAATGGAACTGTACAACAACAGCTTCTCCGATGTAGACTTATTTACCATGTCCCTACCTCAATTTAGAAAAGCTATAAAACTTGTATTAAATGACTTGTAAATTTTTTATTTTTATTTTTATCTTTATTACTATTTTCTTATAATTTTATAACGTTAATCTAAATTGTTTTATTTTTTTTGTAATAAATGTGTAATATTCACGATTTTACTGATAACGGCTAAGTATGCATTGTTGTTTCTAGTTTTTAGTTCTATATTTGTGTTCTCTGTGCCTTATAACTTTAATTGGTACGGTAATTTTGTGGCTAACGGTGTTGGTTGTGTAATTAGTTTATCTATTTACATAGGATTTGAATTGTAATTTTTATTATACAACTGTTTGTTGTCCTTAATAAAACAAAAAAAAAAAAAGAACCATTCTGAAAAAGTTTCGAAGTTCATCACTTCATGGTATTCATTAGTTTTTTTGGATTTAAATGCCAGTAAACAGTTTGACAGAAAACCTTTGGCAGTACCCGCGTGACAAATTATTAAACTCTCCCCCTTTCCTTCTGGTACTTTTTAGGATGACTCTAGAGGTTATAAGGAGTCTCGCAGGACCAAATACTGATAGTATTTTGCAACAGATAAGAGTCCATTGCGCTGATCCGATGTGTTTTGAAGTGAAACTACGTTCCCTTTTTACATTTCTTATACATGAAGAATTTCTCCTGACGTTTTACTTCATTATGTTATATCTACAGCATCTAATGTGTCTAGTCAGTGGCTATGATTAGGTCGTACCATCGTCTCATTCACATTTTCACAGTGTGATTGGCATTTGACCACGTTTCGTCTAAAAAACACAACCTTCTCCCAATCAAAAATATTTTTAGCTTTTCTTAAAAAAGTTAAATCTTTTGAGTGCTATGTCGTTACTTTTCATAATCATCTTGCGGTTGTTTGATTTTTGGTGTTAGGTAATGAAAACCAATTTTATTTAACAGCTTTGACAGCGAAGATTCGACCACCGTCAAATAAACCAGCTTCTCTTAATGTTATCAGTTTTTTAATTTGTTACAAATGATTCATTAAAAACAGTCGCTACACCCGAACTCGGCGTTAGATCCAAAGTCGCTATAGCCGCATGAATTTAGTACTAAAGTATGCTTAAAATTCAAGGGACTTAGATTTAACGTCGCTATAGGTAAATGGTCGCTACAACCAAGGTCGTAATAAATGAAATCCACTATATATATATAAAGAAGAATGTCGATATGGAGTTGTGGACTTTACCGATATGCCATAAAACCGCATCACTATTGTTTAAAATAAATTTTATATTTCAATGTATTTTAGCGATGATATATAACAAATACAGTCTCATTTTTACAAAAAATCGACAACAATAAAAGTACAACTTTATTTGCAACTTTATCAGATTTATTACTTCGAAAGTCTATATTTTTCTGTTTAAGTATGATATTACTCAAAATCAAGAAATACTAATAAGTTAATATAACATGTTATTATAATAAGTTACTAATATATGTTATTATTTATTGTTTATAAAAGAGTTTATTATTACTTTATCTTTATCAACAAAAGTTTTACTCGTATATTACTTTCTATTCTAATATATTCAAAAACTTCATAGAATGAGGACCAACGATCAACGACTACTGCCAGCGATGAAGACGGTTCCGTTACTAGGACAGTACGATTCTTTGAACGATCACAGGAATCGAATGATGGAGATACAATTAAAAAGAATGAAACGGAAGCGACACAGACGTCAGACGATGAAACAAACACGCAGAAAGAAACCAGTACAAGTACTATACACAGGTAAATTTTAAGTAAAAAAAATCTGTTGCGATATAATTCATCCAAAAATATTTGAATCTAGGATAAATATAGACACCAGTTTAAGAAATAATTGTTTAATTTATGACTGGTAAAATTTCGATACGTAAATATATTTAATCTATCGTTTTTATATTTTTCCTTTCATAAGTTTTTGCTTATGATGACGTCATAAATATATTGAAGAATTCGCTACATTTGTCAAGAATTGGAAAGTGATAATCTTGAACAAATGTATAATTATTATTATTATTATTTATTTAATTTCAAGTACCCAAGACTCATTTTCATTTACATTACATTTTTTTTCAAATTATAATTATTTAAAAAAAAAATTAAAATCTAATAATCTAACAAAATATGACGAGACAAATATATTAAAATAATACTTTGTCCAAGGTAATAATAAATAATTCATTAAGTTGATATTTTACACAGATTACATGTTTCTTGTCTCTGACTAGTGTTTAGTTACAAACACAGTTTCTCATTTACAATAACCAAATACCAAATACAAAACATTTATTCAATGTTTATTGTGATTTGATTATGAAAATACGGTCAAATAGTAAATATTTGTACATTAGCATAAATAACTGTACTTTGTATGTGTTGACGGAATTACTTCGTTATGAACTTGGTGATAACTAAAATGAATTAAAATTTTTAGTACCTCGTAGCTTTTTCTGGTGGGACTCCTTTATGTCTAGGAGTCTGTCTAAGGATATATAGAGCCTGATTATTAGGGGCTATGAGGCATTCCATCTTAGTCCTCATAGGTGACAACACATCTGTAGCCTTATCTGTTAGGGAGTTGACTGCAGGTGTTTATGGGTTGCAGTAACCACTTACCATCAGGTACCATCAGGTGAGCTGCAAGTTCTTTTGTTTCAGTTTTATAAACAAAACAAAGCAATGGTCAACGCGAGGGTTAAGATGACTTTCCACTATAGGATGTAATATATATTATATCCCGAAATATAAATTACATCCCGCGATTGCCCTTCACACTGTGAGATATATCTTTTAACATGTGTTCGTTCGTCATTGGAAGATCTGAGGATATACCGGAGGCGCGAAAGGGTGTGCGGGGTACAGGAGTTGTGAGGTCGATCGAAAAAATATTTATAGTTTGGGATGTAATATATATTATATCTCAGTGGAAACGGTTCCATTTAAGAGTACGGTGAGCGATATTAATTTATAGCTCGAGATGTACTACAAATTATATTATATCCCATAGTGGAAAGTGGGCTTTATAGTGAACCAATTAAATTGAAATAAATCGAATCGTAGGTCGGTCGGTGGGTCCTAGTCATTCATCGAGTTCATTGAGTCTCCTTTACTACATCATTTTGGGAATGAAATAAGGGTCAATCAATTTAGTAAATTTTTGATAAAATTAACATCATTCCTTATTATAAAGACCTGTGTCTAGCAAATAGGGTTTTGAAATGAAGAATCTCCTCTTTACATACCGAATCGTGACGTTTCATTATATCTATTGAATAAAAAACTGTTAAAATTACTACCCAATTTATTAAAATTTATATTTAATGGCGCATTTTATTTTAGGTTGGAAACACCACTAATTCTGACTATACAAACACCAAAAACCAACTCGGCCGTCCAGCAACTTTTCAATAGTAATAGGCCTCCGCCGCCTGCCATCGAACCACAACTGATCACGTCTGAAACCTTAAGGTACTTTTAAAGGATAGGATACTTTTAAAATAATACACTTTTAAACGAGAAATAAAAAAACTTGCCTTAATTTATTTTTTAGTAAGTCAAAGTCAATGCCAATATTCTGTAACTTTAAGTTATATATATAGATGTTATTTTATTATATTAAATGTTTTACAACTTGGTATTTTGTTTATTGACACCGAAGCAATTGCAAAAATCTTCAAATTCCCAAATGATTTATAACCTGAAGCGTGTACTAGTTGCCGCTTTTTTATTAAGTATTTAAAATAGAGAGTAAAACAATAATATCCTTATAAAGCGTAACCCCGAGATTGAGATCGAATTTCGGTCACAGTGGCGAGTGTCAACGGAGTCTAACCAGCCTCATTTTCATATTCCGACGAGTGCGAGGTGCGAGGCGGGACGACAATCTCTTGATGGAGTTAGGCTGCCGCTGAGATTTTTGGGTAGAGCCGGGATTCAAACCTAGGACTATATGGTAATCAGTTTCACTTACAAACACAAGACCAACGAGGTAGTCAAATTATATTATTATTAAATTGCGTAAAATGTCTCGGATAAATTAACCGAAATAAAACCAATTTTCAAAAGCCAGGTAGCTGTTTAAGGAAAGAACTTTGTGTTGAGTTAAATGGTGGTTAAGATTTTGGGCTTGACTTCCACTAAGTAAATCTGACGATATATATGACTTCCACTTTACTACCTTCCAGCACGGAAGAAAGAAAATGAAAAATCAGGTTCTGCGTTTTGGCCTCTATAGATTCTGGACGTGTCGGTTGAGCTGACTCCCGTCACTCGACTCTCTTTGCTCATGCACGTGGTAATATTACCTGTCACGTCCAATGTTCATTTATTGAATTGTAATTTCTTTAATAATAGAGCTTGGGACGCTGGTGTGAGGCCTAAAGCAGAAGACGCCGCCGTGCGCCGGGTAGCAGAGAGAAATGCTCTCAGATGCTCACTTCTTCGCAGCGAAGCAAGGAAAAAGCAACAAGCTAAGGTATATTATTTATTTATAAATTTATTGCATTGAATTCATGAGATTTATTACACAATGTTATCTCGGAAACAGCTTATGAAATTACGGAATAAAATTCACGTGCAATAAAACAGAATATAGACTTTTTTTGACACAAGGAAAGCTACAATCTGTCTGTCAGTCTGTTTTCATAGGGAGAATAAGTTATTGAATTAGAAGTTTCTTCGTACAAGGCGGTATTTTTTTTTAAACCTGTACAATTGTCTCAAAGTAACACAAAATTAAAACCTACCTACTACTCAATATCGAATAATTAGTTAATATTTCTGCCCTGTATGATGGTATATAAACTAGAAATACTTAACATAGATTTCGTATGATAGCCCGTACGTCATACGCAATCAAGTTGTAACAAATTTTTGCTCAAATGGCTTGGCAAGATCCTCCGTTATGCCGAAAATATTGTAGCATTAATTTTGAAATAAATATATGGTAAAGTTGAGGATTAATGTTAAGTACTATGTTAGACGAAAACACGATTCCGTAAAATTTTCTCGATAGAAAAAAAAATCCAAAGTTACCTCCAAACCGAACTATAAACCGCTGGTATTCAAAAAATACTTAAAATTAGATCATGAAACTTTGCATACTAACTGAACTAACTATAAAGCAATGCTTACGTTATTTACTTTTTTAAAATACCATTATTTACACCGTAAAAAGAAATTACCTAAACTATCGGCATCTTGAAGCTTCATCCTCCCTGCCGGCCATCCTGCCGCCCGGTTAAGCGGGCTACATACGTGACGATATCGGTGGCGATCTAGGGTGGAAAGAAATCGGGGCTTTTATCGAGGCAGACCCTACACACGGGCCTGCCTAACAGTACGCGTTTGGACTTGGAGCGGAACGCATATGCGGTAGAGTTCTTCAAAATGCCTCCGACTCACTTAAAACACCAACGTGTTGGTTTAGAATTAGCCATCTTGGTTAATTTATTCGAAAATAGAAAAAGAGGAGTTGCTGGGTGAAAAAATGGCTCCAAAAGAGACAAAAATTAAGCCACATAAACGTACTAAATGGTCTGTAATCCAAAGACATGATTAATTTTCTCCGGATGGATGAAGACAGTTTTTATAACTTTCTAGAGTTTTTCTATATTTATGATTTCGCAACTTATATAAAAACATCAATTTCTCCTACCTATGCTATTTAGTTATTTCTTCTCTTTGTTCATTTCTGCTTTGGTCAAAATCGGGTTATGTACTACACACAACAAACAAAGAAATAAAATACTTTTGTATAATAATATGTATATTTTTTTTATGTAATCTTTGTTTATCTTTTTTTAAACATAAAGAAACCTTTAATTTCGGACATACTCCCTTCTATATAGCATGTTTGTTGATGTGGAGATGGTGAAGGAGTAGGAGTTAGTTGTTGATGAGAGGATGAAGGCACGTAAGAGATCTGAGTGCGGTCTTGTGTTGATAGCGTGGGAATAGGAGTTAGTTGTTGAGGAGAGGCTTTATCTTCTCCTTACTTACTTCATACACCCTACTTTATGAACGGCAATAAAACAATTAGTTTAGTAGACATTCTTGACTTCGCAAGGTCACAGGCTAGGGTGGATATGATTTGAATTTCGATAGATTTTAATTAATTTATTTATTCAAATTTTTTTTTGTAAAATATCAGTGCCATAGGCTTCTACTCCGTTCACATGTTTAATATGTAAAAATTTTGTTATGTAAAAAAGGTCATTCAGTATCACTGTTTCGTTAACGTCCTTCCGCGAGTGCTGCTGGCAGCGACTGCCAAAAGAAATCGGGCCGATGCGCCTACACATATGGAGGGGGCGGGGCCCCGATCTAGGAAGCATCGGCTGCATTTTTCTCCTGCCAGCCGATTAAGGAGGCGATATCGGCCACGACTTAGGATGGCCCTACATACGACACGATTTAGAGGCAATCTAGGAGGCATCCCCACTACTCCACCCTAGATCGCCACCGATATCATGTCGTATGTAGCCCGCTTTATATTATACGGTTAGTAATTAGTATCGCTTCGGCTTTTGAATGGGGAAGTTGTGTCACTTACGATCAGAATACACATTACGCAACAGGACGACGTAAAATTAAAATGGGAAATAACTGTAATAAAAATCAGAAGCGACTGGGTTGGCGTAAAGAAACAAGCATAAATATGATAAACCTAATGAAATAAGTATCTAACGACCTATCTACTTAAAGTATTAGTGATTACAAACATGTCGGTACGACCTATTACTTACAGTATTAGTGATTACAAACATACGACGCGCGGGGAAGTGGGGGCGAAATTAGAATTTGAGCTGACTTACTATATCCCCTTAAATAACGATATTGGTGCAATCCGGTAGCAATCAGCTGGTTTATCGATACTTGTCTTAACTTGCTCAGTACGATTGAGCGTCGAAAGAGATAAACGAGTTTGTTCGTGTTTGTCTTATTCCTGTCGGTGTGTGCTGTATTTAAATCCCTATATAAAAGCTCGTAATATATTTTTTTCATTTTCATAAGTGGTTTCGCGCGCAATATTTAAATAAGTATTTAAGTTCAACACCTTATTTACATATTTGTGAAACAAAGTCATTTCGAAAGCAAAAAAGAAGAGACGGCAATATAGTGCAGAATATATTAAATATGAATTCATAGAAAATTCATCGAATCCATCTTTGCCTTTGTGCCTTCTTTGTTCAAAAACATTTTCAAACGAAACGATAAAGCCTTCAAGACTTCAAGATAATTTAATAAATTGAATACAGATAAGAAGGACAAAAATGTAGGCTACATCTTAATATTTTTTTTTTTATATATATATATATATAAATTACGTGTCACGTTGTTTGTCCGCGATGGACTCCTAAACTACTTAACCGACTTTAATCAAATGAAGGATAGTTATTTTCCCATGAGTGACTCACAATTTTTTTATGCGAATTTGAGGATTTTTAATAGGATGTGACAAAGAGTCTTTAAAAAGGACAGAACAACGTCTGCCTGGCGAGCTAGTTATATATAAATGTAGGCTACATTAAAAAAATAGTTATAACTACTGTGCTCCATAAACCGGCGGCAGACATCATTCGAAAAATTCCTTTGAGCAATAGTTCTGTGCAAAGACGAAGTGATGAAATGACTAAAAACATTGAAGAGTTATTGTGCAATCATCTTAAGACTAGTCAATTTTCATCAATTCATTTGGATAAGTCCACTTTACCAACTAATGAAGCATTGTTGCTGTCTTGCGTAAGGTGTATTAAAGACGAAAAAATATGTCAAGAACTATTATTTGTTGTATATATTATTTGTTTGAGATTTAGACATAGACACAAATGGAGCAACCATAATTAAAACACTGAAAAAGTTTTGTGATGAAAAAGGAATTTCTTTGAAGAATTTTATATCAGCTACTACAGATGATGCTCCAGCTATGACGGAGTGTCAAAAAGGCTTCATAGCATATTGAAAAACCAAATTCCAGATGTGCTTGCTATACTTTGCGTTATACATTGACAACATTTGGTTGCTAGGAATTTAAGTGAATGATTGTTTCAATCAACTCTTTAAATGACTGTTTATTTAATCAGCTTTGTGTTAAAGATATCTAACACTAATGATGAAGATTTCAACCAATTGATCTTTCACACAGAAGTGCGTTGGCTATGAAAGGAAAATTGACTCGATTTTAAAATCTATTTGTCTCTGTCGTAGAGTTCTTGTAAAACAAAGACTCAGTATTGCGAGACAACCTCATCACATCAAAGAATGATACTGACAGACCTTTATAAATTGCTTAATGATATGAATGAACAAAAAATGTCGTCGCTGCTTTCGTAGCCAAGCTGCTCTTACACAAGAAGAATATCGGCAGACGTGAGTTCCATAATATTCCCAATCTATCAGTGTCCTGCAACAACGACGTTTTGCTTGTTTACTGCCAATATTTGGAAAATCTAGATATACTTAGATAGATAGATATAAGAGAGAGATAGAAATACTTGACTGGGTGTTAGATTCTTTATCAAATGTCAACATTTTTTCATTTCACCCCAACTGGAAGAAGAATTTATTATACTGACAACGAACGAGGAAATAAAAATCAAATTTAAAAATGGCTAAAAAGAATTTTGGCTACAAAGTAAAAAGTAAATCCCGCAGTTGTACCCGGGATTGTGGTCGATCGTTTAACAATTTTTGATAGCATTCCCGTCGTCATATTTGTGTGAACGTGGATTTAGCGCTGTGACAACGCCGCTTAGCAAAAAAGAAATCGTTTGCATGTCGGCGCCTCTACACGTTGGCCAACACAGTGGCGAATATAGTGGCCAATAGCATTGGCCATCGTGTAGACGGGGTGTTTCGGCTTCATTGGTATGTATTGGGACGATGGCCCGCAAGTTGGCGCGAGATCCGTGTGGTGTCGGTTTTTTACAAAAGATCAAAGGATTGTTGGCAGAGTTTGGTCGCCGCGTCCGCACATTGGCCGCGCGTTTAGTTTGCTACAAGCTCCCAGAGTGATTACACGCATCTGATTTAAATTTTATATTCAGTCTTTGTAGGATGGATGCCCCAATTACCAGCCTTTTAGTGCCAATTTCAACTTTAAACATTCCTAATACTTTAATTAGCGCGATTTAATTATTTTTAAACATTTGTTTTAATCGATTAACAGTTTATCAAAAAAATAACGAACATTTATTTACAATCAGATTATTGAGAGAACAATTTTAAAATGAAAAAAAAAATGAAGCACGTCGTTTATACGTGGTAGAACCATGCAGTTATATTAGAAGTATAGTTGTAGCACGAATGGGTCGGCTCAACCGGGGAAGGACCACGCTTTCACAGAATATTAGCGTAAAATAGTAGCATAATGATGCTGTGTTTCGTATAGTGAGTGTAGAGAACCAGAGACCCTTTTTAAAGGAAACGAGGCATTTCATCTTAGTCCTCACGGGTGAGAACGCATATGCATTT